ATTGGATCGTTGGAAGTTGGGGCGTTGCTAACAAAATGGAGGCAGATCTGAATTCCAGTTTGCAGTTAGTGGTGGGGGATTTCTTGCCACTGGATTCACAGCCGACCCCCAAGCATGAATAAATGTTTTATTTATTAAGGATGACGATGACGATCAACGGCACAAAACATGCCTAAACAGCGCGCGCGCGAGAGAGAGACTGCCTGAATGACTGAGTACGTCCTCCATCAGGTTAAGTCATATTCATGAAAAAAATTAGTTTACGATGTCCTAAGAGTAATGTTGTCATAATATCCTAATATCTTTTCAATGTTTAGGGGTAACGTACTCCCTCATGACTGATGTCAGTGCTATAAAGTGAAGCATCAGCTTCAGCTTTTCCCCCTGTTGTTTATCCCAGCGTTTACCCCTCACGTCACTAGCTCTGCCCTTGTGCCATAGCTCGATACCGGAAGAGAAGATGAGTCGTTTTGAGGGGGAGGGGAGGTTAACGTTTTTGATTAAAGATTACGAGGGCACATGAATAAAAAATAAATAATGAAGTGCACGGATAAATTATAATAAACACTACAGTATTCCATTAAAAAATAAGAATTTTCTATTTGGATTTCATGGTGACTTTAAGGGAAAAAAAACAGCAGACAGATAGTTGAATGTGATGCCAAAACCAAGTCCAAATTATAAACACAGGTTGGTGGTTCAGAGATGTTAGCCGGCCCCAATCCACAACCACTAAATTCCTATTCAGAGGAAATCATGCCCGCAGCAAAGCACTGTTGCTAGGCAGAAAGTGCACAGCAACAGCAAGAAAGTGGGAAAGAGGTTCATACCGTAGCAAAATATAGAAACACTTTAGATATTGATGGTGCATTTTTTGCCCAAAGAGTACAACGAGTTGACCTAATTAGGTCCAACATGATAAAGTAACAAAAAATAAAAGCTATTTCTGCCATGTTAAAGGCAAACCATTTTTGTTACCACTGACATGAACCAAAAAAATGCTTAAAATTAGAGGTTGAAAGATTGGATTTTACCGTGGATTTTACCGATACTAATAGCTACAGGTTGCTACAGGGACGACTGCACGAAATGTGCAAACTACTAAAAACATGGCACAATGATGAACAAATATAGTTTAGGCATAAGTTTGTGCAACGCTGAGAATAGATTTACCTTTTTTGAAATATTCCATTAAACCTGCTGAGATACAAGGAGCGTGAACTAAAATTCTCAGTTCCACGTGCATGTCCGAGAATGAATATTCATGTATGCTCCACCCACTAAAGAACATTTCTGAAACCAAAAATCTCTTAACACCGGCCGTGAACAACTTGACCCCGCCTTCAAACACTGTAGCATTTCTGTGTGGTTAACATCATGTTGAGGAGACACTGTGTCCTACGCTGTGAAAGTTTTATTTTCACTTCCGAATGATGAGGCTGAAAAGAATCAGTGTTTGACATTTTTCAATGATACCACAGCAGTATAAGCCCAATCTTTTGTCGTGTTCCCATCATTTTACTGACGACTGCTTCTCTAATCTCGGGGAGCTCAATGCGGGATTCACAAAACGCTTGCTCTTGAAAGATGGATCAGTGCTCAGTTTATTTGGACCAGCTGACTCCTCTGAAACTCAAACTGTAAGTACGATTAATAATTGATACTTAGCCTATATTTTCTAGCAATCGTGCAAAATACACTTAATTCTCTATAAAATAGGCGTCTAATGCTCAACTAATGCAGAAACGTATAATACTACCTGTCATAGGTTTTCATCTTCGCTTGGCATTCTGATACAGTTCCCACATGTGCACCTAAATAAATTATATCAATGATTCAAGTGATGCACCGAAATGAAAATGGTCAGTGAGAAATATGTATGCGGTGAGAAATCTTTAAAAGTACTACAATACCAGGAAGGAAGATCGGGTTGTTGATGTTTGCCTGCCATCCTCGCTCTGTCTGCACAGCGTGCGTGAACGCGCTGATGACGTATCCTGTCTGCGCGAACTGGGTGCGCAGAGGTATGCTAATACATACGTTGACAGGCAGGTAGGAAAGCATATTAAAACGCTTTGACCGAGCGTTTTGATTGGACGAACATTCCTTGATCCTACACCTTCCACAGAATATATAAATACAGACAAATACATTTAGACCACTTAACATAACGATTGCTATCGGGATGTGAAGAGACTTTCAACCAGCATAACAAAAAATGTTTCTGAAGACAATCACCTATTGCACCTTTAAAGTCAAAATGTGCTTTTTACTATTTTGTCTTGCTATTCAAAGATTTTTTTTTTTTTACAAAACTACAATTTAAAAATATTTAACATTGCACATTTTTTAAACATTTCAGCAGAGATTACACCAACAAAGCAAAATATAACATAAAACAAATAAATATTTGTATTTGGCCATCTTTGAGCCCCCCCTTCTTGAATAGCCTATATTAGGCCCATAATTGACTGCTGAAAGAATGTAAGGTACTCTGTAAGCCTACTACAAAAAAGTGCACTGAAAAGACTGCAAAAAAGTGGATGAACCTACAAAATAATTGTCCTAGACATAAGCCTACTTATGCCCGCGGGAACTAGGGGTGCTGATGGTGCTGCAGCACCCCCTGCTGACTGTTTTACTACACTGGAATTTACGTTTTTCATTTTCCACATTTGTTCATAAAATTACTCTTAAGATTATTTCGTTTTTATATGTTGTTGAATGTGGTTTGTGACTTCTGGATCACAGATGGAGTGGGTGTGCTGGGACTGGGAGCAGGAAATTTCCCTTTCACTGCTGCTGCTGCCGTATCTTTTTCGCAATCTGCATGCTGTCTTGATTTTGAATGATAAATTAAACTTGTCGTGCTGTACGTTTTTGCAGATGTACCTCCTCTATATAATTCAGCAGAACAGTGTCTGCAAACGGACATTTTTGCGTCTTTCTCAGACACTTTAAAATGTTTTCACACTGCCGATGTTTTCTGCATTTAAAGTTATTTGATCGCGTAATTAAAAATGTCATTGTTCTGTAAAATTTAAACCGTCTTTTCACAAACTTAGTTTGTGGAGATTATAAGACATGACAGCAGCATCCTTTAGGGATGCTCCGCATGTTCGGCAACCGAAATTATTCAGCCGAAAATAGCAAAAAAGCACTTTCGGGTGAATAATTTTGATTGTCGAACATTCGGTGCATCCCTAAATGATGCTGCTGTCATGTCTTATAACCTCCACAAACTAAGTTGACACTTACCACTGAGAAACACCCTGTTCCAGTTGTGCTTGCGAAGTGTCTGGTTGATCAGCTACTTCAGACGTTTCATCATCAGACTCGGGCTCGAATTTATAAGGTAAAATCGATACCATCTTTTCTCTCTATGCATTCTCTACGGAGCTGTCATTCAGTTATGACAATGGGCGTTTCGGTTCCGACACATGCTGTACTTTTTTATGTTCCACAGAACAAAGAAAAATGCTGATCGAATTTTCATTTTTGTGCGAAATACCCATTTAAGCCTCATACAGTTTTTTGGCACTTTTGGTTGCTAGCCAGGATGGGCAAAAGTATCAAAGTACTCTGAAGTATAGGTCTTCACGGGTTCACTTGGATCCAAAAACCCGAGGTCCGACCCGAGACCCAAGCGGGTTCGAGGAGTGCCTTTTTCCAAATGGACCCGATAAGACCTGATCCCTTTAACATACTTTCGCGTTGGTGTTAAGTGCATTTTTGAGAGACGCACGTAGAAAAGGAACATAAACGTTTGTAACCTCGCACACAGAAATCCATTTTATAGATATAAGATCCATCAGGACCTTAATGACTGCATGTTCATGCAGGGCAGGGCTTTCCTTTTTTGTGTGCAAAATCCCTTCGCCGGAGATGAGGTAAAGAGCATTGCAGAGCAGACAACACTAGCGAATCCATGATTTATTAGACTATCGATTACATTTTTATCGCGCTATCGCGTTTATTTTTCCAATCCACTGGTCACTAGATTATTGTGTAGAGTGATCAGATGTATTTTAAATCATTGGCCAAAAAAGTAACTTTTCACACACACAAAAAAGCTAATTTCACTGTTTTTTGATCCTGACACAAAATGACCAGCTTAACAATAATTTACTAATTATATCAGCAGCACATGTGCAAGTATGAATGAGTACTGGTCAGGTAAAATCACTATCATACTAATTAGATTGTAAGAGCAGACTGATTGCTATAAAAGGAGGGAAGAAGCACTTCCAATCATTGTGTTCTTGTTAGAAATGGTTACCTCCAAAGATACACTTGCAGCCAGCTACGGAATCGTGTCACCAGCAGTGCAGAGCCTGCTCAGGAATGGTGTGAGAGCATCTGCACGCACAGTGAGGTGAAGACTTTTGGACAACGGCCTGGTGTCAAGAAGGGCAGCAAAGAAGCCACTTGTCTCCAATAAAAACATCAAGGACAGACTAAAATTCTGCAGGAAGTACAAGGATTTGACAGCAGAAGACTGGTGCAAAGTAATTTTTTCTCCCACCTTCAATACCATGACTGAGGAGCCCTTGCCCTTTGTTGCATTCATGTTATCGGCTCTCAATGAAATTTAATAACTTCTGGTTTTCGTAATTGTCATGGCATGCCTGGTTAAGATAGAGTGTAAATCTGGAGGTGTTGACATCACCATGCAGAGAGAGAGCAGAGTCGCAAGGCCTCTAACCAAATCTGACTGTCATCCAGCCTGCTCTTAACATTGACAAGCTCTGTTCATAGAAACCCCAAGACAATTCACACACACACACACACACACACACACACAAAACAAGTCTCCACTGCATTACATTTGGAATCATGTTTTTCTACCCAAATCCTCACTACCGTCTCATCATCGTCTTTTTTTCACAGGGGATTTACTTGTAACTACAACACTTACTTTTAATCTCTACATTCACATCCTCAAAACAAGTACCAAAACCTTTTTTTATTTTTTATTAGTAAATTGTCATCAGTGCAATTGATTCAATGAATTGGCTATTTCTGGTCATGCTGTGCATTAGTACAGAAATATCTTGAGGGTTTCAGTCATTATATTTCCTTAGAGTTTGTGCTTGATAGGCAAGGTAAGGCATGTCCAGTGTATTTATATGTGCAAGTCACACACAACGGTAATCCAGTTTCTAAGGCGCAACATCAATATCTTGCTCATGTAGAGGATAAAATTAGCTTTTCCCACTTTTTACAACTAGTGTCAATTGCTTTGGAATATTGAAAGAAAACGTTACAAAAGACAGAGTGCACTGTCCTGCCCATTTCTACCAACCCTCTCAAAGTACAGAGCAGGATATATAATGACATTTATCTTCAGGGAAATATAATTAAAGGGGTCATATGATGTTGCTAAAAATAACATTATTTTGTGTATTTGGTGTAATGAAATGTATTTATGCGTTTTAAGGTTAAAAAAACATATTACTTTCCACATACTGTACATTATTGTTTCTCCTCTATGCCCTGCCTTTCTGAAACATGTCGATTTTTACAAAGCTCATCGGTCTGAAAAGCGAGGTGTGCTCTGATTGGCCAGCTATCCAGTGCTTTGTGATTGGCCGAATACCTCAAGCTTGTGACGGAAATGTTACGCCCCTTACCAAACTGTGATGCTGTGTCCCGGCCGGAGCGACGAGACAAAAACAATTAAAACCCATTATAAACGAGGCATTTGTTGCATCCAGTGGGGACATAATTACAGATTATAATGACTTATACTGTCTTTTTATACATAGCGTTGCATCGCGCCACGCCGCGTAAACATAAAACCATGTCTTTAACCTTAAAACGCATAAACACATTTCATTGTCTGCATTTGTGATTGGAGAAATGACAAACAACATGTGTTACTCTTCACTGCTCAAAACTTGCGTTTGAATCATCAGTGGCAAATCCTTTAAATGAAAACGTACTTACAGTCTGTGAGTCAGAACAGCCAGCATTGTAGTCTACTCTTCCAGGATCAGGAAACAGTCCTCCATAAAATGTGCTGCACACATCTGAATATTTGGGTTGAACTGTTCTGGAACAGTGTTGTAAATACAACTTAACCACTGATTACTAGACGTGTCCTCTTTTGGAAGGCCAAACAAAGTATTTTCACTTTCACAACGAAACACACAGCTCCACACACGGCGGGCTAGAGTGAGTAGCAGCCGATGGATTCGACGAAGGAGCGGCAACCACATGTGACGACCCCGGGCTGGACTCCGCTTCGTCCACGGTGAAAGCCGATCCGGCGATCCACAGCGCGAAGTTGATGTATTTCCTCAGCGACCAGCACGGATCAGCTCTAGGCATGACGAAGCGGATATCGTCTTCTTTTCAAAGGCCAAACAAAGTAGTTTCGCTTTCACAAGTAGTTTAGCTTTTTTTTGAGCGACTCCACAACATGGCAGCGGCGGCAACAGCAAGAATTAAAGTTACGCCTTGTTTTTTTGCGTGAACATTTGGGCGGCGTTATGCAAATCTTCCCACATCGTGACGTAGACATGTGGGGGCGTGTTAGAATGAGGCATTTTAGGTAGGCGTGGTTGACTCTTAACTTTTATAAAGAATATCTCTTTGGATTTAAGACTTTAGTCTTTGCAACTTTACAGATCTTCTTTATGCACCAAGAGCTTGTAACACTCCAAAGAGAAAGGAAAAATTTAAATCGCATCATATGACCCCTTTAATGCATCAAGGAAAAAACAGCAAGAAGACTGACTTAACATTATAATAATTCATTTTTGGCTGCAGTGATGAAGTCGACGACACTGACTCGTCATCTCCACAGTGGACATGCACATTTCATACGGATTACATAATCTGAAAATATATATATATTTCCATTTGAATTGGTTCATTTAAAAGTAGACATTTAGCTTTCTATAGATATTTTTTTCATGTCTGTGAGGCAAGCATGGAGTTTTGGTTGCAATTTTTTTTTTATTACAGCTCAAATTCACAGAGACCTAGATGGCAGAAAACGCACCGTTTGCTTTCATCATTTTACAAAAGCACAGCATTTTGTTTTTATTGTGAGTGTACACAAATAAAGGACCTTTTACAGATTCGAAAAATGTATTTTATTATTTTTATCTGTATGACCAAAAATGACAGAGTATTTTAAGTTAAATGCAAATGATCGCACCGGTGCCTCCAAGATAACTGTCATGCAGTGAGTGCACTACTATTCAGCTTCCACACTCCTCACAAACACTTGAATAGTGCACATTTTTAAGGTTACCGTTAGAGTGAGCTGCCATGTAATGATGCTACAACTTACATGTTTCAGATAAGTCACATTTGATGTCCCAAATGAAATATCCGTTTGGATGTCCTGACTGATGTACTGTAATTTTTTTTGTCCCTGTGACTAATAAAATTTGGATCAACTAAGCTTCTTCTCGTCGACTAACAGTTAGTCGACTATTTTTGAATATTTTCTCTTGATCTCAAGTATAACATGAAACTGTTTTTCTATGTTTTTGTTACTCAAGTTCCAAACAAATCGTACAAAATGAAATAAAGTAATTAATTAATGTGTTATCCAAAACAATCTACACATTACTATGGCTATTTAATAATAAATACTGTATATATGAAGCATTTTTACCGAATTTAGGGTCAGTACGATTTTTTTTTTATATTAAAAAAAACTATACATTTCTTTAAAAAGAAATGTTCACACTGCACAACCAATCTGGCTAATGTAGGCCATTAAAAATTTTCTAGGAAATATGGTCCAGTGTGCCTAAAGCACTTATGAAAGACAAAGGAAGCAAAAAGAATTGCTCTTGAGACAAAAATGGAAAATGAAGCATAGTGGCAGGGGGTGAGATTTTGCAGGCTCTTATAATTCGGTCGGTGTTAATCATAGAAGCCTACTAAAAGAACAATACAGGCAAACCATATTGGGCTAATAATAATATCCTCTAAATCCAAAAGTTTGACCACATGTCTGGCATGTACCCTTCTCAGCAGGTTGGCCTACCTAAGATTTATATCAGTAATAAACAGATTATTGTTGTGTTCAGGGGCAATGGAGAGCTGCTACTGGTAGAAATTTAAAGGCCTTCAGCAGCTGAGACTAGATTCAAACTCAACATTTTGTTATTTTGTTATTAGAGATCTGTATCAAGATTTTTTCCACAACGAAAGGTTTGAGTCACTTCAACACATGTTTAAAGCATTTTGATGAATCTGTGTTTTGTCTTACTCTTACTCCTCTGTAAATAAATAAATGCCACCACCAATGATATCAGACTGGCATCAGCCATGATATTACAAGTCCAAACATCCCCTAAAGGCCAAACAGTTAATCACAGGCTGACACGCTCCAGACAGACATCTACAGAAGGCTGTACAAGATGTGTTAAATCCAGTCTGGTTCAGTGAGTCAGTGAGGTTCAAAGACAAGATCATAAATTAAGTGTTAGCGTTAGGTCTGGAAGGTCACGTGAGTCAAGCTTGCATCAGCTGATTCTCAGCTGATCACATTTTCCTCTGGTTCCTCACTTGGTGAGCTTGGGGTGATGCTTCCCCCATAAATATATTATTAAGCAACATTTCCTGCTAAGTTTCTTATTTAATTCTCATTGCTTAACGCTATGTTGGCAAATATGCTATTGTCAAATATTGCTAGTTGTTTAAGGCTAGTTGTTCAGTAACATGTTTGTTTGCTAGGCACGCTGTTGCTTTAGGCTTATTGGTTGTACTTCGACACACTGGTAACATTTACGTTACCCAGATAAACTTACCACAGCCGAGGCTTGTTTTTAAATCTGTTTAAGACTGTCTGATATGAAAATTAAGCAAGCAACATGCTTGTTGCAAAGCTATCTAGTGTATTGGTAAGGATTTTTGTCTATGCTCAGATTGAGGACACGTAACACAATGAGCACAAATGTCAATGGGAGACGGCCAACCTAGAAACTGATGAGTTGATTTGAGTTATTATATGCTGTTGTTACAGACTTTTTAAATGGATGCTGAAGGTTTTAGGCCAGGTAGAATCATGCCAGTGATTCGAATCAATCGAATCGATTCACTAAGATGATTCGCTTACTGATTCATTCAGATGCCTTTTCAGTACGAGTGTTTGAGTCAATCATTCACTCAACCGATTCGTTAAACTCATTATCCTTTAATACAATCTATGTCCCTACAAGTCTACAAAGAAAGCTCTAGTGAGAGAGTTTTACTTGTTAACTGACAACAAAACAGGTCATTCAACTGCATTAATTTGAATATGAGCAATACTATAAATAGAATAGCCTAAATAAAATAGTAATGAGTTTCAGTAAACGTCATTACGTCATGTGAATTGTGTGTGTGTGTGTGTGTGTGTGTGTGTGTGGTCATAATTCTTCCTCGCCGCTCTCCTTGTCAACGCGATTGAACGATATGCCTCATTCCTCCAGATCATTCACGAATTGTATTCGAAGCCAATGGTTCAGTGACAATTCTCCGAGTCTCGTTCAGTAAAGGGGCGTATTCGTTCAAACGATCCAACCAATGAAAATCTCCTTCCACAAGCCCACACTCGAATATTATTTGCTGACGGCAAATGGAGTCACGCCCTTACTTGGACGAACAAAACACGAGTCAGTGCAAGGGATTGAACGAACGATTCACTTAAATTATTTGTTCACTCCGCTATTCGACATTCTAGTACTTTGCCGTTATAATCATACCAGTTATTTGCTTTCTCTGCAGAGGTAGATGTACATTTCCACATTTCTTTCACAATTGTTAACATGGATATTTCTCAAGACTCTGAAAACTCATCTCTGCTTCTCTCTAACTCGTCGGGACATATACAAGGTAGGCATTTATTTCAGGGAAACCGTATTGTGGAAGTGAAGATATAGAAATCCAGTTTGTTTTGATTTAGAACTTAAGCTGCTTTTAAGAAAAAGTAACGTATTGTTGTTATTATTATATAACGAAATGTTATAGCCTACATTGTATGAATATGTAGCTCTTTCGTTCTTTCTTTCTTATGTGCATTCATAATAGAAAGTATGTATTTTAGGCACTGTGGCTACAATTTCAAGTTTATCTCCATAACAACTGCATAATAATTATTTAATTAGCATAAGAATGAGCAAAATGCTGTTTAATAGATGCCATACACCATATGTCAACATTTTTCTCTTATGTACTTTATATATTTTATGTATTATAAATACACACACACCACATCTGGATCTTGTTTTTATATGTGATTTCATTGTGTGCTTAGCGACCATGAGGGACCAGTATGGAAATGCCATCTTGCCCAGTGTTTTTGGGACCATATGTTTTTTTGGCATCACTGGAAATTCTATTGTCATCTACACCATCATTAAAAAGACAAAATGCCAGGCTAAACAAACGGTACCAGACATTTTCATATTCAATCTCTCTATTGTGGATTTGCTTTTCCTCCTCGGCATGCCCTTTCTCATTCATCAGCTCATGGGAAACGGATCTTGGTGTTTTGGAGCCACTATGTGCAAAGTCATCTCTGCCCTAGATTCGAACAGCCAGACCGTGAGCACCTACATCCTCACAGTTATGACCTTGGACCGTTATGTGGCTACTGTTCACCCATTCCGCTTTAACCACGTCCGGACAACCTGTGTCGCCAGTTGTGTGGTGGGAATGGTGTGGGTGCTTTCTCTCATCTCAATTACTCCCGTTTTAATGTACACTGGCTTGATGCCTCTCCACAACGGCCAGGTGGGATGTGCTCTCCTGCTACCGAATCCATCCATCAACGTCTGCTGGTTCACTATCTATCAGTTTGTGCTGGCATTCGCCCTTCCGCTCATGATTATCTTTGTGGTGTTTTTTAAAATCTTGAAGCACGTGTCTACCACAGTGGCTCCTCTGCCCCCAAGGAACCAACAAGTGCGCACTAAAAGTGTGACTCGGATGGCTGTGGCCATCTGTTTGGCCTTTTTCATCTGTTGGGCTCCGTACTACATCCTTCAGCTTGTCCATCTGGGAATACAGAAACCCAGTGCCTCGTTTTATTATGTCTATCACGTTGCCATTAGCATGGGTTACACTAACAGCTGCATTAATCCTTTTCTTTATATTATTCTGAGTAAGACCTTTAAAAGGCAGTTTATAGTGGCCATCCAGCCTGCACACAACCACTTTCGGGTCAACCCGAGTAGCACGGAGGCCACTGTGTCCCTCCGTCTGGCTGCTGACTGCCAAAGACATTTACCTGTTAACACCTCAGAGTAATATACTAATTTTTTTTTTCCTTAAAACATCCTAATTGAAGAATTGATCAACCTGATAAAAAAAAATTAAGGATTCAAAAAATAAAAAGGAAAAAACAAAGTGATGGAACAATAGATCAACATTTTGTCATCTCTGTGTGTGTATTTGCATTTGCATTGTGTATTACACAATTCCTTAATGATGACCATGTATACTAGGGGGAAAAAACTGTAAATATAAATATGTGAACTTTGTATCATTTTATTTGATCCCCTGAAATATTACTGTAATTTATGTAAACTGTGTGTGTGTGTTTTAGTGGAACAGGAAACAATTTAGCAGTAAGTGTTGAGTATTGTTAATGTGCTTGAAATTTTATTTTGTGGACTGTTGTTTTGGCAGACACTCTTGATACTGTATATAGAAAACTCAAAAGCCAGTGTTTTTCAATCACGCACAAAGAAAATAAAAACTTACCATATGTTGTTAAGCATTGATATGAGTATGCTTCTGTATAATCTAGTCAAGTGTAATTTAAACTTTTCAATTAATTAAATGTATTTAAATATTTTGTAGTAGGGATGTCAAAAGTACGGGTATTTTGTTACACACTAAAATTAATAAAATATAATATTCAGTTTTTCTACTACCAGTAGTATCAACTGCTATGCTTGTTTTGCAGATGAATTCATTTAAGCATATTTGGTTACGTCTTAAGTCAGTGTAAGCTATTTTTTTTATTTTGGATGTGTCAATTTCGGACCCGTTCATATATGTAGCCTGTAGCATTGACATTCTCTGTTATGCCATTAATATCAATCAAACATTGAATTTTTTTCTATTGTTTGTACTTTGATCTATTATATTGTAGACTGTTTGCTTATCTTGAATCACTTGAGAACATTTACAAAATGCTAGTTTAATCAGTGGTTTTAAAAGTGGTACTGAGAATCATGAAATTTCACTCATATTGGTATTGACTACTGATATTTTGCTGTTCTGACAATGATAGATGGATAGATAGATAGATAATAGTAGTATTAATATTGTCAATACAATGCGCTCATTTGGTGTTTCAGAAACATTTCATATTATCAGTGTTGAAAAACGTATGTGAGAAATATATGAAATAGAAATATGTATTTATATATATATATAAACCCACACACTATTGTTACTAGATTTTATGTCCTTCAGAGTCATAATGGTATAAGTAGCATGTTCCCTTATAAAAGACATGTTTAAAAAAAGAAGTGAATGTCTTTTTGAAGCTTCAAATTAAATCTTGTAACATTGTGATTCATCTTGAAGATGCCTGTTGTGGTTCAAGGCTTCTTGAAATTCTATTGAGAAAATAATTGGTAAAAGTACTTGGACACAATGCTGCTTGAGAGGTGTATGGACAGTTGTGTCCTGGTGTTTTGTGTAAATAGATAGATCCTTGAGTCATAAAAAGAAGCTTGAGGAAAATGATGCCTCAGTACAGCACCCATTTACCATCCAACTGGGCGCATCAACAATAATCCCATCGTGTTCAGCCAGGAATCTTGGGGTGATCCTTGATGATCAGCTGACCTTTAAAGACCATATTGCAAAAACAGCAATATCATGCAGGTTCACACTACACAACATCAGGAAGATCAGACCCTTCCAAATAGAGCATGCAACACAGCTTCTCATCCAGGCCCTTGTCATTTCTAGGCTGGACTATTGCAATGCTCTTCTGGCTAGACTTCCAACATGTGCAATCAGACCTCTGCAAATGATTCACAATGCAGCAGAACGTCTTGTTTTCAATGAGCCCAAGCCACTCCACTTCTCATCTCTCTGCACTGGCTTCCAGTCGTAGCTTGCATCAAGTTCAAGAAATTGGTGCTTGCCTACAGAACTGCCACAGGCGCTGCACCCTCCTACCTCCACTCTCTCCTATGCATTTACATCCCCTCCAGAAGCCTATGTTGACTGAAACCTTGTATAACGGGCACTTCTCATGTTTATTGCCATCTTATGATGAATCACTTGTATTCCACAACTGTAAGTCGCTTTGGAAAAAAGCATCTTCCAAATGAATAAATTTATAAATGACAATGTAATGTGTAAGATATTAATACGTAACATTTTGTCAAAGCAACAGCAGTCTCATGGTAACAGAAGCACCTATTTCTCAATACATTGCCCCTTTATATGCCCAATGTCACCAAATCTGAGTAGCCTTTTTATCTTGAAAGAAAATGCATTATTTTCTTTTATCACACTTCACTCCATTGCTGCATACATAAGAGCTGATAATAACAGGAAACATTAACAAAAAATAAATAAATAACAAAAAAGGGGAAGGACAGTGAACATGTCAGGTTCTTAGAAATGTACTCTCTGTTCATGTTTCAAATGGCTTTGAAAAACATTCATACCATTCACAAGAAAGGTTTAAATTTTGTTTGTCATGCGGTGTAACCATGAAGTAAAAGGTAATTTTCCTTACACCTTGAATACGTGATTGTGAACGGAATTATTTCTGCCACAACCTTATCGCCTGCGGCCAAAATATTGACAAAATACACTCAAGAAAAGAGTTTTTCAAATATTAATAGCCTAAACACTGAAGCCACTTGGTTATGATGTTAAAATGTATATTTTTCTATATAATGGAAAGAAAACATATACCAACCTACTTTTCAAGGTTTTATTTTGCAAAATATTATTCTTTTAATCAGGCACTTTTTTCTTCATTGTAATTTCAGACAATTGTATTGCCCTGACATTCCTGACCTATTTTGATAAGTATTAATAATTCAGAAATTATACTCATAATCATAATAATCTATTCAAGTCACATTGATAATATTTTTAAATTAATTAGTGGATGCTAACATATAAAAAGTGTCATGTCATTCACCAACAGGCTAAATTAAATAACAAAATCAGATCTGAAAGTTTTATATGTCGATGCCATTATTAGTGTTAAACAATCTAATAACTAGGTATATAAGAAAGAAATAACATAGAAAAAGAATACTGTTTATCCAAAACTATTATATAACCATTATGATCTGTCATGATCTGATTCGATACGGTGCCGTGAGTATTTAAGACATACTGCTGCTGCACAAATAGCATATATATAATAACCCCCCAACAAAGCTGGAACGAGAAGATAAACAAACAGCCAAAATGTGTATGCTGCTGTGAGCATGAAACGTACTGCTGCTATGCAATTATATGCTTGAAAGCATCCCCATAAGGCAGAAGAGGAGATGAAATGATAACGCCCCCCAAAATAAGTAGATCTATAGCAAAGAAAGATGTACTGCTGCTGCTCCAGAGAGCCATGAGACCTAGTGTTTGCTATCTATGTGTGCCAGGGCCTGCTTTGCCGAATGGCTAGTGGACTATTGCTGTGTGTACCTGATTGGTTGACCAGATAGCTAAAACTAGTGACTTGACTTAAATGCATTTCTGGGCTAGTGAAGCCCAGAGAAATTAATTAGTGGCTTAGCAATGTGAACCTGAGTGCTGTACCCTTTTAACTAATGACCTAAATAACTATGTGTGTCTGAGCCAATATTGCTCAAACTTACCTAGGTAGAAACATGCACTATGTGTGGCATTAACAAACAGGAATCATGTTGTAGGCTGATAGATGAAGTAACTCCCAGCAACCACCTGACTCAGGCTCAGGTGACCTGCGCAAATAGTTTTAAATTGTGTCATTCAATATTTGTCATAGTCATTATCCTCTTACCTTTTTCCCCCCTCACATTAACATTCATCAACGTCACTGCAATGAAAATATACTTACCTTTAAACTATTAATTAGCTAACAAAATGTGTTCTGCAAAAGAATAAACTGATATTGTTCACTTTTAAATAACTTTTTAATCTAAACCGCGAGTGCAGCGCATTAGCATTCCGTTAGCCTGTTAGCTTGTCATTTGCACCTATCGTTTCTTTTTTTCTCTCTCTCGCTCCGTTTTTCACGAGTTCATCAAACAACTGTGGTAAGTTGGAATCATTTAACAATCACGGTGAGTAATGGCTTCTCCTGTTATTGTCACTTGTACTGCTTGCCACATGTATAGTGTAGCTTTCTCTGACAGCGGTGAGGGATTCACATGTGATAAATGCAGGGAAATAGTTAGGCTGACAGAGAAGATCTCAGAACAAGAGACACGCATCCAAACTTTAATTGAGGATAGTAAGAATGTGAGGGCCTTAGATACGGCTTTGAATGCGACTAGCTTAGCGAGTCCCGTACATTGTTCGGTTCCGGTTGCAGAGCCCCTGCAGCAGGGCGACTGGGTGACTGTGAGGCGGCATAGTCGTGGGACAAAACACCGCTCTTCCATTCCGATTAAATCTTTAAACAGGTTCTTCCCACTCAGTGACGCACCCACTGAGAAACCTGTTGAAAGAGCCCTAGTAATTGGCGATTCTATTGTACGAAATGTGAAAATAGAGACACCACCCAGCCAATGTTTACCGGGAGCCAGAGTGCCTGACATCTTGGCAAATTTGAAATCGCTGGCTAATGCTAAACGTAAATTCAGTAAGATTGTTAATGAATTTGAAGTCTGACTTCGCCAGTCGGAGATCACTAAAAATAACATAAAGAGGTGTGTGAACTTGCAAGTACGATGTCAGACACTGTAATATGCTCTGGTCCCCTCCCAGCTTACCGTGGTGATGAGATACATAGCAGACTGTCATCACTCAATGGCTGGATGTCTAAGTGGTGCCCGCAGAATAACAGGTTTTATAGACAATTGAGCGAATTTTTGGGCCAGACCAGACCTGTTGAAAAGAGATGGTCTTCATCCCTCCAGGGGTGGTGCCGCTCTTCTCTCTAGAAATATGGCACATAGTCTTAGATTTTGTACTTGACTAACTAGGGCCCGGGTCAGGAAGCAGACAGACTGGCTAAACCAACCATCTGCTAGCCACCTCACATCACAGAAGTCAGTTAACTCTCAGCACATAGAGACTCTTTCACCTAGATATCATACTATAGAGACTGTGTCTGTTCCCCGAACTAGCAAAAACAAAAAACGTCCAAAACAATTTAAGTGTAACAATTTAATTGATGTTCAACAAATAAAAACAGATATAATACAGATAAAATTTTGTACTTGACTAACTAGGGCCCGGGTCAGGAAGCAGACAGACTGGCTAATGAGTCAAAAAATGAGTCTACACCCCAAGATTGTGGTTATAAACATGAGCCGCGTCCAAAAGGTAAAAGGGGAGGTGTTGCTACAATTTATAGTAATATTTTCAGTATTTCTCAGAGCTCTGGTTTCAAGTATAATGCATTTGAAGTAATGGTGATTCAAATAACATTACCCAGAGAAACAAGTGTTAGATATCATACTATAGAGACTGTGTCTGTTCCCCGAACTAGCAAAAACAAAAAACGTCCAAAACAATTTAAGTGTAACAATTTAATTGATGTT